CCACTGAGCCGTATCCCCAGCTCTTTTTACTTTTGTATTCTATGTTGGTCCCGGGGATTGAACCCAAGGGTGCTCCACCACTGAGACACAATATCCCCAGACCTTTTTTTGTATTTTGTTTTGAGACAGGGTCTCATTGTGTTGCTTAGGCCCTCACTAAGTTAGGCTGGCTTTGAACTTGAGATCCTCCTGCCTCAGCCTCCCAGGTCTCTGGGATTGCAGGCGTGCACCACGGAGCTTCACTGCACTTACTTGGTGCTGGGGACTTTTCTAAACTATTCCTTAGCACATTTGATCCTCATTCCACCCTGTGAGGTACTACAGACATCCTCAGTTCCAGGACCCCCCTCAGATACCCAAATCTGTGCATGCTCAAGTCCCTTCTATAAAATGACAAGTATTTACATATAACCTGCTCCCATCCTCCCATACACTTTAGATCCTCCCTCCTAACGATGTAAACGCTGTCCGTGGACTTGTTAGAACTATGCTATGTAGGGAATCATGAAAAGGGAGGGGAGATCAGTCCGTGTTCAGTATGAGGGCAATTGTTTTTCTATTACTTTTCAGTGTACTTGGGTGGAACCCCTGGATATGGGACCTGTAGGTACAGAGGGCCGGCCGTATAATTTTTTTTTTTTTTTTATTTTCCAGATGGTGACATGGAGTCCCAAGAGAGATTCAGTCACTTGCCCAAGGCTACCTTCTTTTTACATGGCAGGTGGGGCAGAGATCTGTCTGTCTGGCTCAGCCATTACCTGGGAGAASGAGCTTGTCCAGCATGAGGCCCTGGCTCAATCCCCGGTGCCAAGAAAGAAAGGAGGAGGACAGGAGAGGAAGACAGGGGGAAGGAAGGGGGGAAGACAGACAGAAACCTCCAGAAGACACAGATCAGGACTGCCGGGCAGAGCTTCCACTGACAGGGAATGCCCTGTATCCGGGCTGCCCATACGTGTGGCCACTGATCATTGAAGTGTGGCTGATGCACCTGGGGAATTACATTTTTCATTTGGTTTAACTTTCTGTTTTTCTTTTGTTTGGGTACTAGGGATCGAACCACTGAGTCACATCCCCAGTCTTTTTTTTTTTTTAATTTTATCTTATTTTACTTATTCTATGGTGGGGGTGGACAGGGTCTCACTAAGTTGCGGAGGCTGGACTCAAACTTGCTAACCATCTCAGCCTCTCTAGTTGCTGGGATCGTAGGCACGTGCCACCAAGCCCCACGTGTGATTTGATTTTAATCAGCTTAAATTTAAGTGGCCACACATGGCCACTGGCTAACATATTAGACAGCTTTGGGCCTGGATTAGAGTTGGTGACTGGGAATACTCTGGATGCAAGCCTGGAAGGTCAGGGAAGGGTGGGCGGAGGGAAGGGGTGCCTACTTGGAGCCGTGAGCACCTGGGTTGCTCTGGGTACCCTACAAGTTCCCCATGCGGGGAGAACTGTTCACTCTGTTGGCTGAGGGTCCAGAGGAGGGAATGGAGTCAGCTCTTGGTGACTGTGGTCCTCCAACAGGGTCACTTCTCTCCGGCCACCTCCCTAGCCAATTTGTCTGTGAGGAGTCGGAACCAAGCAGGCAAGTCAAAGAGACTGCATTTCTCTGTCCTCTTCAGGATTTGTACTTGACCATTTTCAGGCTCCTTTCAGGGTGGAGTCTGAGTGGCTGATCCCACRGAGGCCTCATGGGCTTTCCAGGGACTCAAAAAAAAAAAAAAGTTTGTTGCAGTGATAAACAAGGGACAGAGCCCAAGTGAGGACAGACTTCTGGCAGCTGGGAGGCTGCAGGGGAAGGGCGTTTATTCAGTTCCTCAATCACACCATTTAGGCAGATGTTCTCCACCCTGATGGGGCCTAAGAATCATGAAGGGCAGTTTGTTTAAAAAAAAAAGTTTTTTTTTCAGAACTCACTCCCTGATATTCATATTTAATAAATCAGGCAGGAGCCAGGCACAGTGGCAGACACCTGTAATACCAGCAACTCAGGAGGCTGAGGCGGGAAGATCTCAAGTTCAAGACCAGCCTCAGCAACTTAGCAAGACCTGTTCATGGCAGAGCTCCCCCGGGGTCAAGCCCCAGTACCCGTCCATCAACCCATCAATCTGGGGTGAGCGCTGAGAATCAGTGTTTTTACCACGACTCCACCCATCCAACACAGACCCCAAACCTCAGGCTAGACCCAGAACAATCCTTCTGAGAAACACTGATGGAGGTCGAGCCTAGGGATACAAGCAGGTGAGGGAGGGAGGGGGAGTTTGCCCGATAGGAAATTCAGAGGTCCTGACCGGACTCTGAGATACTCAGAGGTGTGCATGGTGTTCTGTGTATTTTCTTGCACCGAGGGGAACTGGAATGACCCACGTCCAGGCTTCCAGCCTGACACCTGAATGTCGGAGCTGAAGCCTGAGACCCAGCCGGCCCGGGGCCCTTCTCCTAGGCCAGGATGCTGAGGAGTCCTGGCTGCACCTGGACCTGGGACGGCTGCTGACCCTGGGAAAGCTTGCCTCTGGGCTCTGCGAGCTCCAGGCCCAGGCAGGCCCGCAGGTTTCCCCTCTGCTCAGCCTCCGCGGCCTCCTCTGCCTCCCATTTCTCTTCAGCGAGCTATCTCACAGTCATTTGCTCCAGGCTTCCTGTACGATTGCTGTATTTTTGCTCTCCGTTTGTGGGCTGAGTCTGAGTGGGTGTGGGAGAGGAGCTGCATGCTTCTCCTTCTCTGCATTTTCCTTCGGAGCTGGGAGGGCTTTCACTTCCTCCCCCAGTTCTCATTTCTGTCTCTGACAAGCGCTCTGTCATGAAATCCCCTTGCCCGTCTCTTCAGAGCACCAGGGAAGCAGAACTGAGCACAAGACGGTCCCACAGGGCCTGGCAGCTACCTAGGAACCAAAGGACGCCTCCAGCAGCAGCAGCAGCCTCCTGGGAAGGTGCCCCSGGGAGTGGCAGGAGTAGTAGCAGGCAGGCAGCGAGCCCTGCTCCCTTCTTGGGGAAGCTGGGAAGGCCTCTGCATCCCTCTGACTCCACCAAGAGCAAGTCTTGGCCTCCACTTCCCCTTGCTCAGTCTCTTCTGCCCCAGCATCCAGTGGCTCTCAGCTTGCCCCTAACTACCCTCAGCTCTGTCCGCTGGTCCAGTTCTACGTCTGGGAGTCTCGGGGGTCTGCCACCGAGGAGTCAGCCTCCATCAGGTAGGCTTGACGACTTCCCATCCCAAACTCTCTGAACCTCAGTCGCCTCTTTCAGAGTTTTAGGTAGATCCGTGGAGAATTCCAAAACCTGTAGCTACATCAAAGTGAAGCCAGGCATGGAGATGCATGCCTGTCATCCCAGTGGCTTGGGAGGCCGAGGCAGGAGGATCAGGAGTTCAAAGCCAGCCTCAGCAACCAAGTAAGGCCCTAAGCCACTCAGGGAGACCCTGTCTCAAAATAAAAAAAAAAAAA